AATAATATATAATGCAATATCTGGCACTAATAATTGTAATTTTAAAGGACCAGTGGTGAAACTCTAGTGGCCATGCTGAGGACTGTGAGGTCTGGTTAAATTCCAGAAGTCTTAAGCTCTGACCGCAGTTACTTGCAAGGATATTTAAACACTACTGGCATGAGGAAGCCACTATCTTCCAGAAAATGATGTCATTTTTTTTTAATACAGAAATCGTTGATAAAAAGTTAAAGGTTTACACCTGACAGAGAATTCAGTCTGATGGGAAATGCACATAATAAGGCAAAGAAACTTTTAAGTTGATCAACAAAAAAATAAGAAACAAAGAACAATGAGACTAAAACAGTAGAAATCCAAAATAACCATTTTGTGTGACGTGAGAGCCCAGGGTTCCATAGTTGGTCAGAAGTTCATTAATACATATGTAATTGTCTTTTTTGTTTTACCCTTTTGAATGAAAAAGAGTTGATTTTTGCCATTTTTGTACTTAGCTGTAAGATTTTAACTAGCTAGGTCAGGGGGTCTCCAGACTTTTCTAAACAAAGGGTCAGTTTTACTTCATACTTAAGGATTATTGGTAGTAGAAAAGTCCCGACTTCTGTGGAATATACAATACCCCATCTTTTTTGTCAACAAGCAGAATAGCGCCTCATCATTGGTGTCATTGGTCCCCATTGTTGGTGCCATTGGGAAGAATTGTGACCCGTCATTGGGAGTTATTATGCCCCTTCATTGGTGTCAATGGGGGAAATTATGCCCTATTCTTGGTATCAGTTTAGAACAATGGTGCCCCAAGGGCCAGATAAAAGTAAGCAAAGGGCCTCATCTGGCCCTTGGGCTGCAGTTTGGAGATCACTGAGCTAGCTCATTCTCCCAAGCAGAGACCTAATAAAAATCAGTTTTCAGAAAGATGTCACTTGGATCTGATCTAGTAGTTTTGAAATTTAAGTGTATGTTACCCTACCTATTTTTTTTGTCAGATGGGTGTGTTCACATATGTGTGTTTTATAAATCACAGTCTCTATCATTTTCATGTGCTTCTTCCATCTGATGTACCTGGTTGATCCTGCCAGTCACTTTTCTTCCTTGTTCTAAACTGACCACACAAAGCACACAAGCTGATCTGCATTATGGTCAGTTTTCATCCTTTGGCTGGTCATTCAGAGGTACAGGACACTGTGCAGACACACAACTTGACTGTATTGGGTAATTTGTTCAGCCACCGCACCCCCCAACCAGTCACAGCCTGCCTCTGGCACACACCCCCTCCCAGTCACATGCTGCCTCTTTAACTAACACCCTGCTGAAGCACAGCCTGCATTTTGCCCCAGGCTGAAAAGACTATGGAATACAGGCACACTGTGTGTCTGCACAGTGTCCTGTAACCCTGCCCCCAATATCAGGAAGAAGAAATGCATGGTCAGATCATTTCGGAAACTTAACAAAAGTGGTTAAGGTATCTGCACAGTTATAACTGTATTATAAAGTGTCTCTAATATTATAGGTTCACAACTACTTTAAATTGTATTGCTGAGTCCATCAGACCTCTACCAATGTAAATTGGCACTATATGTGTGGAGTAGAAGGTCTCTCAATAGGCAGAGACTACCGTTTATGTAATATCTGTCAAAACTTTAAAGAAATTGAAAGACTGTTTTTTTGGACAGTTTGGGGTCTGTTTTAAAAACGTTTTCATACAAGCTTTCCCAAGTTTCATCTAGAAATCATACATTTGTCGAATGTAATACAATAAGAAGAAATGTGAATGTTGGGTGAAAGTTGTACTGAATCAGTTGCATGTGATCATATGGGGAGCTAATATAAGTTCGGGTACATTTAAAGGTTTATATACAAAAAGGGGCAAGACCTACCTTTTCAAAGATATTTACATTCCCGCAATCTTAAAGTTTCACAGTCACAACGTTTGGTTAATTATAATATTCACAGGTTTTTTTATAAAACTGTACAGGATTTTGGAGGCCACATAATGGATATCTCTTTTTTCAATGACTGATTATACCCACAAAATGTCTGCTTTATGTTCTTGTTTATTATTTAGCAAGTATTATACTCACTCACTCTGCTATGTAACGCTTAAAGTGTTACTAAACCCAGGACCCTCCATTCACTATATTTGGCTCCCCACAGTACACAGAATACGGAAATGCAATTATTTTAGTAAATATAAACTGCTAAATACCTTTTCTCATCAGCAGTTAGAGCAGTCTTGTGGCTTCTATCAGTGTCCAGCAGAGCACTGGTTAAAGCTTGTAGGAAGTGTTTTCATTCTCCCCTGCTTGCCCTTTGAGGCTGCAGGACCCCTGACCATCTGTCTGGACAGTGCTGATTGGCCCTGTGCTGATCACATGCACTCTCCCAAGAAAAAATAAACTCTCTAGCAATACACACCAACCTGAGCATGTGCAGCTTGCCCCCAAGGCTCTGTTCTATTAGAAGATGGAATGGGGCAGTAGAAGAAGGGGAGGATCCCAGGAGGCTACAGGACCAGTATCTCTGTCCTACAATGTCTTGCTCATGCACAGGAGCTGGCTGTGAGACATCAGGAAGTCACAGCCAGCTGCCAAATCAACAATGGTTGTGCCAGAGATCCACAGCCCTGGGAAGAACTGGCTGCAGAGAAGATAGTGCTGGACTCTTTGGGCTAGTAAGTATCTGTTTCTTAAAGTAGAACTATAGGATTTTTTTTATCATTTTAGATAGAGTAAGGGTAATATCACATTTCCCTAATTTGGAGACTTTTTTTTCTTGTTTCAGATATATAAATATATCCACACTTTGTTTTTATATACAGTGGTTAAGATAAGTATTGAACACATCACCATTTTTCTTAGTAAATATATTTCTAAAGGTGCTAATGACATGAAATTTTCATCACATCGGTAATATCCCATGCAATCCATACATACAAAGAAACCAGCACAAATAAGTTCAGAAATTAAGTTATGTGTAATAAAATGGGCCAAAATCACAACGGAGCATGGGGAAAAAATATTGAAACACACTAACTGAAATTTATTTAATACTTCGTACAAAATCCTTTTTTGGTAATGACAGCTTCAAGATGCCTCCTGTGTGGAGAAACTAGTCGTATGCATTGCTCCGTTGTGATTTTGGCCCATTCTTCCACACAGTATTAAAAGTCAGGAGTTTGGCTGTGCCATTCTAGCAGCTTTATTTTCTTTCTTAATTATTTCAGTTACTTATATAGCGCTGTCAATTTACGCAGCGCTTTTACGCATATATATTGAGCATTCACATCAGTCCCTAACCCTCGAGGAGTGTACAATCTAAGGTCCCTAACTTACATTCATACATACATATATTAGGGCCAATTTAGACAGGATCCAATTAACCTACCAGCATGTCTTTGGAGTATGGGAGGAAACCGGAGCACCCGGAGGAAACCCACGCAAGCACAGGGAGAACATGCAAACTCCATGCAGGAGGCTCCATGGTCGGGAATCGAACACATGACCCATTTACTGCAAGGCAGATGTGCTAACCACTAAGCCACTGTGCCGCCCATGCTTAGAAACCAATTGAGAGTTTCCTTGGCTTTGTGTTTGGGATCATTGTCTTGCTGAAATGTCCACCCACATTTCAGCTACATCATCATCATTATCCTGGTAGATGGCAGCAGATTTTTATCAAAAATGTCTTGGTACATTTTTCTATTCATCCTTCCTTCAATGACATGGAGTTTGCCAATACCGTATGCTGAAAAACAGCTCCACACCATGATGTTCCCACCTCCAAACTTCACTGTTGGTATGGTGTTTTTGAGGTGATATGCAGTGCCATTTGACCTCCAAACATGGTGTGTATTATGACATCCAAAGAGTTCAATTCTGTTCTCATCTGACTAGACTATATTCTCCCAATATTTCACAGGCTTGTCTAAATGTTGTGCAGCAAACTTTAAATGCGCTTCAAGACACTTTTCCTTCAGCAATGGAGTCTTTTGCAGTGAGTGTGCAACAGGCCATGGTGCTTAGGTGTATTACTTATTGTTTTCTTTGAAACAATTCTACCTGCTAATTCCAGGTCTTTCTGAAGCTATCTACAAGTGGTCCCATCATGAGATGTTTCTTGTGTGACACCTTGGTAATGAGACATCTTTTTATAGACCATCAGTTGAAACTGAACCAGCTGATATTAATTTGCACTGACAAGGGGCAGGATTGCTTTCTAATTACTGATAAGATTCCATCTGGTGTCTTGGCTTTCCATGCCTTTTTGTACCTCCCTTTCTTCATGTGTTCAATACTTTTTCCCTGTGTCATTCCATTTGATTACACATAATTTAATTTCTGAACTTATTTGTTTTGGTTTCTTTGTATTTATGGATTGCATGTGTTACCAACATGTGGTGAAAATTTCATGTCAATAGCACCTTTAGAAATATATTTACTGAGAAAAATGGTGACCTGTTCAATAATTATTTTACCCGTGTAAACGTTTTGAAGACCCCTAATATAAATAAATAAATAATATATATTTATATATATATTTTTTATAATTAATTCATACATGTGTTGTTTTATTGTGTCATTAACCGCTTCCCTGCGCCCTATAGCAGAAATACTGCTACAGGGCGGCAGGGGTGTGCAAAATCACGTATGTATATATATATGTATGTGTGTATATATATATATGTATGTGTGTGTATGTATGTATATATATGTGTATATGTATATATATATATATATATATATATATGTGTGTGTGTGTGTGTGTGTATATATATATATATATATATGTGATTTTGCATTTCCGGGCAGGGGGTGTGCGCGCGGCTGTCAATCAGTGGGTCCCGGATGGTGATTACCGCTGGCACCTGGTGATTACCAAGGATCTCCAATGGGGAGGAGGAATGCTTTGTTTACTAATAGTCCTCCTCCCTGTCGACTTGGGCACACTGCTCTGGATGGTTGTGCACAGCACAGCCATCCAGAGCAGTGTGCTTACAGTGAAAACACCAACACACCGCCCCCCAGTAAAACACTCCCAGTACACAGTTACCCCTTTAATCGCCCCTTATGTTAACCCCTTCCTGCCCAGTGCCATTAGTACCGTGTCAGTGCTTTTTGTAGCACTGATCACTGTATTGGTGTCACTGGGGATGTCAGTGACACCAAGTCAGTTCCCCCCAATGTCAGAATGCCCGCCGCTGTCTCGCAATAAGTTGCTGATTGCCGCCATTACTAGTAAAATAAATAAATAAATAAATTCCAGTATATATACTGCCATTTGTAAGTGCTATATCTTTCATGTAAACCAATTAATTTACACATATTGGGATTTTTTTAGCAAAGAAATGTAGCAGAACACATTTTGGCTTAAATTTATGACGAAATTAGATTTTTACATTTTTTTTTTTTTTTTTACTGGACATGTTTAATAGCAGAACGTCAAAAATATTCTCTCTCAAAATTGTTGGTCATTTTTTTATAGCGCAAAAATTAAAAAACGCACAGGCACTCAAATACCACCGAAAGAAAGCTCAATTCATGGGAAAAAAGAATGTACATTTATTTGGGTGCAGCGTTGCATGATTGCGTAATTGTCAGTTAAAGTAATGCAGCGCCGTAATGCAAAAAATGGCTTGGCCATGAAGGGGGGTAAATCCTATGGAGGGCAAGTGGTTAGTCTAATAGGCTGAAATGGAACAAACCAAAGTTCTGCTGTGCTTTGTTGAGATGATTTTGGTGATCTATAAAACGGGGGGCAAAGAAGTTGCCAGAGAGCACAGAACTGATACACAGTTACAGTGGGGAAAGTAATTATTTGATTCCCTACAGATTTTGTAAGTTTGTCTACTTACAAAGAAAGAAAGGGTCTATAATTTTTATCATAGGTATATTTTAAATGATAGAGACAGAATATCAACCAAAAATCCAGAAAAAACACATGATATAAAATGTTATAAACTGAGTTGCATTCAGTGAGTAAAAAGCGTCAGCACTAAATTATTTTCTGCATTATTCTCACAGCCATAATGGCTACTATATCCCAGTGCATGTTTCGATCATGTATTAACCTGTAATATAATTACAACTTCTCTAGCATTCTTTGATGATTAGCTCTGCAGACGTCTGTTGAATGGAATATATTAATTCTCAGCTTTTCACTTTCTCATATTTTAATCAGGCTCTTGACTTCTTAATGACATCAATGAGGATAATGCTTTTCTCATGGGTGTGCAACAAGGAGCTTTGAAATTTAAGTATTGTGTTAAAGAATTTGAGTGCAGTTTTTTTTCCTAATCTCTATGTGTTTGGGGAAGGGTACCAGTGAAAAAACTGATAAATTCACTTACCTTTGACATTTCCATTCTTGTATTTGAGACAACGGATGACACGATGGTTGAGTTCTGTGACACAGATGTTCAGCATATGTAGATTGATGGGTTGCTCCCAAGTAAAATGTAATCAGTTGGGTTTGATGTTGTACATTGTTATGTGTTGTTAGGGAGAGCAAATGTCATAGCCAAGCTCTGCTTTTCTTCTGTCCTAGCTGTGTTCCCCATAACTTGTCTAGGGAAATGGCTAACAAAAATTAAAAATAGAAATTGCATTCATGAAGGAAATGTACTTGTGAATGTTTCTTCTGGTGGATGGAAAACTGCATAAATAAATTGGTTTTCAAACATTTCTAGATTAGGTAGAATTTAAAGTGGGGAAAAAAGGCCCCATACACTGCCAAAATAAAGAGATAGAGATGCTGGTACATGCATTAAAACATTTGCTTATGAAAATAGGTTATAAAAGTAGTTAAAAAAAAAAGGCTATTAAAATCAGGTAACATAATCCTTTTGCGCTACTTCCCATTTCTAAAGTTGCAGCCTAGGTGGAGAGTTTGCTTCAGAGCTGTGATATGTAGTCACCTGACAGTGTGAGGTTTGAGAAATCGCCAAGCACACCTTTTATCTCCTGGTTGTTAACATGTACCACACTGGCTTCCACCGCCAGTGCATAATTTAAGCAGTGGAGGCACCAGAAGTGCCAGACTTACTGCCATTTTCATAACTTGCCACCACTGCAGCCTATAGAAACTGTTACCCAGTGTCCTTCCTAGAATGGTGTCGAAATAATTCTAAATCCAAGGCAGAAATGTAGGAAGATAGTTATACTGATTTGGGAGAAAAATTGCTACAGATGAAAAAAGTGTTGATTTGACTTCTGTTTTATTTATTTTTTTCTGTTTTTAAGTGCATATACACAAAGAGCCTGAGACAGTAAAATACATAAATCTAAAATGGTTTTCTCTCCTGTTTCAGCTTCCAGTGCCTAAAACAGGTCAGGTTAGGCTCACATGGCCATCTAAAGCACAATTTTGCTTTTATTAATTTTGGGCAGAATAGACATAAAACATAGTGGGGTAGAATGGGGAACTGTTGTTTTGAATTCAAACAGTATCAGCTACACACAGAATTTGCGTTGAGGAAAGGAATATTAATTACATTGTATTGACTTGCCTCTCAGATTATTCTGATTTCTGTTTATTGCAGACTCTGTACAGCTAGTGTACATGGATCCAGATATTGTATATAGAAATAGAAATCACTGGTTGGCCAGTTTTCAGTCCCCCCTTTTTATCAGTGTTGAGAGTCCCCCTTTCATCACATTTCCTCATTTAAAGCAGTCCCACAGTGTCCTCAATTCCCCTTCACATCACCCCTCTTTACATTACAGTGCCCTTTTACAGTGCAGTCCCCTTTACATTAATGAAAAGGGGAGTGCACTGTAAAGGGGCACTGTGATATAAAGGGGACTGCACTGTAAATGGGCGCTGTAATGATTACAGTCCCCCTTTACAGTGCAGTCCCCTCTATATCACAATGCTCCTTTACATTATTAGTGCAATCACAGTCCCCCCCATCACAGTGCCCCTTGCAGTAATGCCCTCCCCCTTTCCACTCTTACATCACAGTGCCTCCTTTCAATCTCTGGCTCCCCTGCACAGTCCTATTTTTGGCAGGGTAGAGGCACTTATCAGCCTGTGTCCTCTCCCAGGTCTCTCCAGGGAGGAGGTGCAGATCTGGATGGAGGGTGGGGGCTGCCCAGTTTATAATGTTAGCAAGAGGGTGATTACCCACTTGTTAATATGAAAAGTCTCCTGTTCTCAGTCCCGATCTGCAGCTCCTCCCACCCCCTGCCCTGCTGATAGGATGACATCGGTGGCGGCCATCGGTGGCCATCGTTGGAGACCTGGGATAGGACACAGAGGCTGTTAGGTGTCGTGGCCATGGTCTAGACAAGACTGTCACAGACTTCAGTTGCTGCTCACCTTCTGTTGTGTGGCCTGGTTATCAATAGGCCATGGACTGATACTGGTCTGCTGGGTTGGGGACCCCTGGTGTAGAAGGTGCAGAGAGTTTACATATCTCCACCACAGTTATAAGCAATGATCAGTATTTACCCAGATGTAATTTTTTATTTAGCTTTTCTATTAAAGAACTCAATATTATCAATGACTTCATGACTAACAAATTAAAATGAAAGCATTTTTTTTTTTTTTTGCAGCAAGGGAAATTCATTTTCGGTTAGTTTCCAGTTATTTTGTACATTTGTCCAACCTTTCTCTAATGGCTGTGTATAGAAACTCAAAACAGATGTTTTAATATGAAAAATATTTATTCCCAGAAAAAGCACTGTGCCTGTGGCTAATGATATAGGGCATAGAAGGAAAAGTATTTACATCCATCAGTAAACTGGCTTCAGGCTTCTTGCAAGCTGTTTTCTCTTCAGTTACAAGGAGATAACATCTTACATGTGTCACCTATAAGCAAGAAACTTGCACATGTATACTTAGAACATTGAGAAGTGGACTGAAGAAAACTGTGATTTCCACTTGAACCCCACTGAACACATTTATTTTCAGTATTGAGCAAATGTGTGCTTTTAAAAAAAAAATGTATTTCCAAAAACAAGCAGTAAACTATTTGATATGCAGTAAGGCTAAGTTCACATTGGTAGATAGCTGTGATAAAAAAACAGGTGTTGGCATTGCAGTAGCATTGGCCATCTTGTCAGTTGTTTACCTTACTGTAGGCAGTTCAGACTAGCACATTTAAATTGCAGCGGGTCGCGCTAGTTTTAACTCACCATGTCAGGTTCGGCAGGCACTACACCTGTCAAAAGCACCTGATGAAATCAAATGGACCATGTTGCAGCCACATGGCAAACACAGCGGTGATGGTTTGCGGCCTGGTATTTCAATGTAAAATCCTCTTTGGGATCAAAAACAGGCATTCAGGTATAGCAGCAATATTGCACACCTAGAAATCATCTCTAAACCACGATCCGAAAAGCAATCCATCGAACTACCTCTTCTTTCTACTATTCTGGCCTTACTGAAAGCTAATGGTTGCAGAAGTCCGTTTCCTTATGGGAGGTATAGAGTTTTGGTTTTGGTATGTCTATCCTGGTCTTAGTTATACTTTTGATAGGCATAAGTGCTATGATGGTCAGCTTCTCCTATTGTACCCTATGGCATTTTCTCATTTCCTAATTCTGTTCTAAATTCCCTAATTTTTTTTTGGGGGGGGGGAGATTCCTACCTTTGCTATCTAATTTTGACTAAGGATTTTATTCAGTCTAGGAGATATTAAAAACCATATAGATGTCAGTGCAGATTATACATTAGAAATGGATCTGGTGGCTTGCCAAGACTTTGGTACAGGCACCAAGACATGGGCCAGATTCAGGTAATTTGTACTACCGCCACTTTTAGAATCTGTCACTAGGGCTGCTTTGCATTCTAAAAGAATTACCACTGATTCCAAAACCAGTTTTGGACTCAGTAGTGGCTAGGAATCTGCCCACTGCTATCTGCTGTCAATCAAAAGTAAAGCAGACCGGATGTGGAGCTAGTCTCCCATTTCCCCATCAGGCTCCACCCACCTTTAGTTTAAAACTCCTTAGCCATTTACCTGTCAGTGTGATGGCACAGAGGCTGGGCAGGGAGGAAGGGAGTCCAGTACGGACTCTTCTCCCTCAGTGTCGGCATCGACAGATTCATGTACCTGTCTCAAGGAATTCAAATACCATCCCAACAGAATTCTAAATTTGCAAGAAAATGTTAGAACATCAAGGTTAGCCACTGAAGACTAGGAGAAAAGCATTTTCAGAATGTTTCTGCCATTTACATTTGTTAGCTGTGTTCTGTGGTTGCCCCTTTTCACAGCAG